TATGTAGTATAACGTGGTCCCGGAAGGAACAGTGCGTTTTCTGGGGCCCCCTCCCAGAGTGCTGTGACGGGATATTAATAAAGATATCGCACATGTATTTAGTATTTAATATTTTTTATTATATACTTTATATGTATTACATATTTCCAACACTTTACATGTATCATTTTTATATTAAAAATAAAATACAGTTTGCACAAATTAAATCACATTGTCCTTGTGTATCCATGAGTTGTGTGATCCATCGAATCCCAACCATTTCACGTAAACCTCGTCGCCCCTTCTGCGCAGTACTTTCTCCACGAGATACACGTCCGGATAAGTCGCGCAATGCAACTCGTACTCGTAGAACGCTTCAGCGACAGATTTTCCACGATAGTCCTCGAGTAGGTAGGTTACGGGATTGGTATGCTGCACTTTAACGATTTTAAACACCTCGGTGGTCCAATTCGGCGTGTATCGGTACCGAGTCGCCCGCTTTGAACTTTGCCGGGCCCGCGATCTTTATCGCGCTGTACACCGTAGCCAAGAGTCTTTTGGCGATCGCGGGGGTAACGTCGACGGGTCGCATGCCGATCGTTCGATGCTTGCGCGCGTTGTAATTCGACACGAGTCGCGATAACGCGTCAAACCACTTGTAAGTTCCATTGAGCGTAAACATTTCCCACATGTTGTTTTTTAACGTGCGATTGAATCGCTCGACGACCGACACCTTCATCACCGAATACGTGGAATAATGATTGATACCGTGTTTTCTCACGAGACGTTGCACGTCGGTGTTGTAAAATTCCTTCCCCATGTCGGTTTGTAGATTACTAGGGCACCTCCCGCTATCTCGAATTATCTCGGCGATAGCGTCAGCTGTCTCGCTGCCACCTTTACCCTTGAGCGGCACGGCCCAGGCGTACTTGCTCAACACATCGATGACGGTGATTATGTAGTGGTAGCCTCCGTTGAAACGCGAGTACGGACGCATCTCGACGATATCAGCTTGCCACAGGTCGTTGTACCTTCGCACTATAACGTGTCTGCGGGGAAAATTTCTTCTCGCCGGTGCGTGCAATTCGTCTACCAACCGTCGCTTTTCGATATTATTATCCACATCGGTCGATTTTAACGGTCTCATGTTCGGTTAGCGTTTCGTTGGCTGTTCGTAGTCGTCGTTCTTCAGCTGTACGTAGCCGTTTCTGTTTATGTTTCTGCGTCGTTCATCACTGTTTCTGAACCGCTCAGAAACAATTTCGAGCCATTCCTAAACCGTTCGACGGCATGCATAATTGTCTTTTACTTGACTGAAAACTCTTATGCCAAGATATTGCTTCTGGTACCGTCACTTTCCCGAGCGTTACATCGGCTCAAGATAATTCAATATTATCCAAGTTTTGGTACGCTGTTTTCGATATATGTAAATCTTTCGCGCCGATATCTTACTTCCTTTAATCTGTCTAGCCAATATTAAAGACCTTCGATATCGCCGCAAATTATTATTATTTTCTTACTTACCGACACCTCGTGATATTTTTAAGTATTAATTAAAAATAAATGGATCATGAGTGATGATTTTCCTTCTTAGAATCTTTTTTTTACAATTCAAAATACATAACATTTGAAAATTACAAAGAAATCGGCAGAGAGGGGGGTGGGGGGCTTATACTTAATATCTACATATATTCTTTATATTATTCTCCATTGTGTGATAATAATTTACCCTGTCTTTTTCTATTACATCAAGGGTGCAATCCTGATATAGTTGATTACTCTGTTTAATATATATAGTCTTAAAAATAAACTTGCCAAGTTGGAGAAGCAAGTGATTGATCTGACATAATTTCATTGTCACATTTACATGACAGACCACATTTGTTGCTGTTCTTCACGCAACTACAAATCTGTGAAGAGCCTCCTCCCATTGCGATGGCCCTCGCGGGTGTTGACGCAATGTGATTTCTGCCCAGTGCTCTGAATGTCAACGTGAAGAAATTCAAGCAAGCGCGGGTAAACGGCGGGAGTAACTATGACTCTCTTAAGGTTGTTCACCCGCCAACAGGGAACGTGAGCTGGGTTTAGACCGTCGTGAGACAGGTTAGTTTTACCCTACTGATGACCAGTCATTGCGATAGTAATCCTGCTCAGTACGAGAGGAACCGCAGGTTCGGACATTTGGTTCACGCACTCGGTCGAGCGGCTGGTGGTGCGAAGCTACCATCCGTGGGATTATGCCTGAACGCCTCTAAGGCCGTATCCTCTCTAGTCAAAGGTGGCAATGATATCTCTAGGAGTCTCGTGAGTCGAAAGGCTCAAAACAATGTGACACACTTATTAGGCGGCCGGTCCCCTCGCGGGCCGGTCGTCGCCCGAGCCCGGTTTGCCGTACGGCGCCTCTGCCCGTCGTCGGGATCTCACCGCTTACGACAGCACGGCGTCTAACGGTCGAACATGAGTTTCGCGAGTTCGATGTCGAGACTCGGAATCGTCTGTAGACGACTTAGGCGGGAGTAACTTGACAACGGCGGGAGTAACTATGACTCTCTTAAGGCGTCTTTCTCCTCTTCTATTTCTCCTTACTCTCTTTTTTGATGGCTCTTGGAGCTATGGTGGTGCATGGTGCTGGCATTAGCAATACGCTTGGATTTTATTTCTTTAAAGTAGTTGCATAACAATTATCTTTCAAAGCAATATACATATTTTCTTTACAATTGGCACAATTTAATTTAAAGATTTCACATCTTTTTTTGAAATACATGTCACTTGAGTTAAGTTAGGTAATATAATTTTGTGAAGAAGAAGATAAAGATTTCACATCTTTTTTTTTAAATACATGTCACTTGAGTTAAGTTAGGTAATATAATTTTATGAAAAAGATATAAAGCTATCACTTAGGTTAGATATATGTCACTTGAATTAAGTTAGGTAATATAATTTTGTGAAAAAAATATAAAGCTACCATAGACATCAAATTCAAGCTTGATTCATAAGAATCGCCTTAAAAATTCCCTAGCGGCACTTTCTGCCAAGCGTAAAGAACCTTCTTTTCCAGCAGCGGTGGTAATACGATGTAAAGATACGAAATCTCTCCAGATAAACATGAAGCAATTGACTACATATATATTATATATATTATATATATATATATATATACATATATACCTAATTTACCTAAATAGAAATCTTCTTCCTGACCGATAAGTCTATCGACCTAATTTACCTACTAGATCGATCGAAATACGCGCGCGATATCGAAACTGGCGATACCTGCGCCGCCAGCGTCGAAAAAGTGAAAGTGACATTTCTCTGATAATCATAATAATATTGAATGAGAGCGGTCGACGTAGAAGAAGAAAGATTCGTTCACTCGTTATCGAGATCTCAACATCTCGGGTACTCGCAACCCGTCGCGTCGCGTAAAAGAGTCACGGTCGGTCTCGCTCCGCGTGTACTTGGCTCGAGACACTACCGTGTCTCTTGATGATCTGCGGTTGAAAAATGTTGTGAAACTTTATAATCGCTCTAAGTAACTCGACTATTTACACGGTAGTGTTGTGTAAAAAATGTTGTTTTAAACATTAATTATCATCATACTTGCGTCCATCGTTGACTAAAAGCTTTCTTCCACGTCTCGAACCACTGTTTCTTCTGTAATATTCATGCATATTATTTTAATTGTAATAAAATATACTGTTTGACATAACAGATAGAACATGATAGGATTACATTACATTCAATTTAATTTAATTAATGTCAACAAGACTTTTATTAATTTACATTGAAATCTAATGTGACTTCATCATATTCTATCTATTAGTTTAAACAAATTATACTTTAATAAATTTTTTTTACAGGTATATTAAAATATCTATTTATACTTTCTTATGGGTATATTATTAATATATTCCTGTTTAAAATAATAGATACAATATGATCAGATTACATTATATTACATTCAATTTCAATGTAAATGAATAAAAACATGATTAATTTACATTGAAATTGAATGTAATATAATATAATCTTATCATATTATATCTATTATTTTAAACAGGGATATCTTACATTTCTTTTCTAATATTGGTCACTGGTCATTTTACTTACCATTCTCTGCTCATATTCTCTTCTCCTTTTTCCTCTTTATGACGGGCTTTGTTCCTTACGTCAAATACACGTGCATACTTTAACTGGCATTTTAAACTTTGCTGCCACCTTGTATAGACTGTCCGTCTGCTCCGATAATGTGTCACTGCGAAACTTTAGGTTATGGCCGTGAGCAGGGACCATCAACTCTCACATGACAGAGTGCGTTCCAAAACTTACAAAAAAAAGTCGGACAACCTTTTTGGCCACGACCATACTGTTTATACACACACAATTAAAGTATTATTTAAAAATTTATATTATTATTTATTTTTAACTTTAACACTGTATATCTCGAAAACCAGAGCGGTTAGGCCTATAAGACCTATATATATAATTTTTTGTTCAGCGTTAAAAGTACTACCAGAAACCATCGTCAAATTAAGGCGCCAAAGTTATCGGAATCTTGCCACATTAAAAGGTGTCTTTCACACATCTTTTCACTTTGTTGAAAAGATAACTTAATAAAGTCATCTTTTTCGTTATCTTTTAGTGTTATATGTGCTGTCTGGGACATTTATTATTGCCACATTTCAACGTGGATGATAACGTATTTGAGTTTCAATTGTACAAACAACTCTTTTTAAATCTTAAGAAATAGCAATTGAATGCATTCTACATATTTATTTGGTTTTTGCTAAAATTTGGGTAATTGTATAGATGGGGGGACCACCTTGGACGACCTTGATATTTTAGTATGTTGTCAAGCTCACCCTCCTGAGTGACCTTCAGAAGTTTTCAGCCCGCGCTCGTTATTCGTTAAAAAGTTATTAACAAAAAAAGTCTGGAAAATATATAGCAGCTATTTTGAGTATTGGAAGGCATAAATAATGACTAATATATATGTCGAAATAGTTTACGCATAATGAAACCGATCACGCCTTCGGCGTATAGATTAGTGACGCGCTTTAAAAGTATTTAAGTGTTTAAATTTCACGCCAGGGCTTACTTTCCTCCCTAGGGAACAACATTGATAAAGTAAGCCCTGGCGTGAAATTGGTCACTCTCACCTCTCTGTAGGCATGGAAGTTGAACTTTCTGTAAAGGTATTGTGAAAAATATCGTGTGCATGTGCACCTCGGGTGTAAAGCTTTTTCAGACTCGTGTAATTCGCCGCCCTCGCCTTCGGCTCGGGCGGTAAACTTTACACTCGTTTGAAAAACGCTACTTTCGCCCCTTGGTGCACAATATACTATTATTTCACGCGACGAAAATTTAACCTATATGCTTTCCCTCTGCCGCGTCATCTGCTCCGCAGCAGGATGTCAACCAACTTCCTTCAAATCGCGTATAGTTTGTTTCGAAAAAAAGAAAATTTAGAAAAGGCCAAGACTGTCTTCAACAAAATACTATAAACTTATAAAAATTAAATTAATTAATACAACTACGAAAATATTGGTTAAAAAAAGAAATTACACAGGTATTTTATCTTACTTTCACGTTATTTTATTATTATATAATATTTAACATAAAATAATATTTACAATAATAAACTTTAAAAACTCTATTTTTATGATCGACAACGTTTGGCTAGTGTCGTGACAATTTGACCATAATGTTTTAGTCGGATTAATCGTTAAGACTTATTCGACCATGGATCTTGGTCGTTTCTAAATTAATATAATCCTTGATACTTACATATAAGTATCTTATTTTTATTAAATTAAATTATTAAATTTATTGCGAAAAATATTACCTTAGCCAGGATTCAAAACTGGAACTTTCTTCATCCCGTGTAGGGCGTCGTACCAATTCGACCACTGAGGCATGTGGTAATATTTAAAGCAATAACACATCTTACTAACAAAAAATGGAAACACCGATTTTTAGGTCAACGGTGTATAATATGGTTGAATAAGTCTTGACGATTAATCCGACCACAACCAATGGTCGAATTGTCACGACACTAGCCAAACGTTGTCAATTATAAAAATAGAGTCTTTCTCGTTAATCAATTATTGGCGAAACAAAAACATACTTTTCTATAATAACTTTAGTTGCAGTTCACTTTAACTTGATGTTATTATTGATATCAAAATAAAATAACAACATTAATGCAAACATAGATAGAATCATAGATAGAAATACTTTGCGTTTTGCGTAAAAATAGTGCTACCAGTTTTCCTTTTTTTTACTTAATTGTCTATTTATCAAATAATTTAATACATATATGTTATCAATTGTACCCATCCCTCTCCTAAACCCCGCTTGACTCTATGGCAATAACTTCTTGTTCTCCACATCATTTCTCAATCTTTCAGCTAATACCGACGCATTTTTATACAGCGTCGGCATTAGTATTATCTCCTTATAATTTTCTACCAACGCACCATCTCCTTTCTTTAGCATCGGCACAATTACTCCCTCATTCTATCTCTTCGGCCATCCCTCTTCTTTCCAAACCCTATTACATATCTCCCAGATCCATTCCTCCAATTCTTTACCTCCATACTTTCATACTTCATTCGGTATTTTATCCCATCCCATTGCCTTATTATTTCTTAATTTACTTATTATTCTACTTATTTCCTGCCTACTTATCTCCGGCTCCTCATCTAACTTCTTTTTTTCTTCCATTTTTTTAACAACTCTCTTCCCCATTCCCCCATTTTCTTTTTAAAATACTCGTCCCATTTCTTTATTTCAATCCTTCCATCTATCCATTTCTTTTTCCGCCTCTCACTATTCACCACCTCCCACACTTTCCCTTCTTTACTCGCCTCATAAGCCTACTTTTCCCATCTTTCATTTTCCTCCCTTTTTCGCATAATTTATTATATTCTAACCTTTTTGACCTATACCTCTCTCTGTCCCATCTACCCCTCCTCCACTCTCTTAATTTTCATCTTACCTTTTTTTTACTTCTTTACACTTGTCTCACTATCCCCTACCTTTCTTTTTCTTCCCATTCTTCTCCTCTAACCATTGTCTCTTTTAGCCTTTTACTCACTCTCTCTATTTCCTCTTCCACCTCACCTTTCCCTCTACCCACTTTCCCCAAGTTCTCTCTGTCATTTTCCTCCCACATCCCTTATCCTCCCTCCGCCCCCTTCTCTTTTGACTACCCTGTCCTCCATTCCCTCTATCCATACTGTTACTGGATGATGGTCAGAATCTACATTTTCTCCTTCCTCTAACTTCCTTAGCCTCTCCCACCCCTTTTTATTCAATAACACATAATCGATGACATTACTGATTCTCCCCTCCTTCCTGTGTACGTCAACTCTTTTTTCTTATCTCCCTTTATTTCCCCATTCGAAATCACCCAGCCTCTCTCGCTAATAAAGTTTACTAGCATCATCCCTTTTTTATTTGTTTTCATATCCTTTGATTTTCTCTCCCCTTTCTTATCCTATCCCTTTCCCCAAACTCTACTCCTTTGCCTACCCGTCCTTGCATTAAAATCTCCACCAATTACTAATTTCCTTCTACCTTCTTCTTCGTCCATCCACTTCTTTATTATCTCCAATTTTCTCTCTAAATCCTCGTTTACATACGCACCCCAATTATCCTCTAGTATTCCTTTCCTATTACAATCTTTCCAATCGTCATTACCTCTATTTCCTCTCCCCCATCGTCTCTTCTTTCTCTTACCACCATCCTCTTTCTTATCCCTATCAAAATTCCTCCACCTGCTTTCTCTCTTTTATTTATTCTTTTTGCTCCCTGCATTCGCCATTCATAATCTTTTTGCAACTTTTCTAATCCAGTTCCAACCTTTTTCCTCCAGCCATGTCTCCATCAACACTATCACGTCCCATTTCTCTAACCCTTTCCAAAATTTTTTATCCTTCTTTCTTACCCCTGCTACATTCCAAAACGTTATTTTAACCTC